CTTTCCAGGAGTGCCCTGAGTGGGTGACCATGGAATCTGAGAGGGCTTGATCTAGAGTCCAGAAGAAGTGAGTTCAAATCCCACCTCAGCTATTTACTAGCTGTGTGACCCTGGGTAAGTCATATCACCTCTATAGGCCTCAGTTTCTGCATCTGCAAAATTAAGGCGTTTGGACTCAATGGCCACTAAGATCCCTGGTAGGAGGAAAAGGACAAATTAGGTTAGATTACTATGGCATAGTAAAAAGAGCACTGGACACAGAGTCAGAAAATCTGGGATTGAGTCCTGGCCTGGGTGTTCCATTCTCTGGAACATTTGGTAATTCCACTGAGGCAGCACACTGAGATGCCAAGCTCCTATTCCCGTTCCATTTTGTAGTTTATGTGTTATTTTTGCTTCCAATGCATTAACTTATACTCACAATACTTTAGTCTCCTTAGCGACCGTCTGAAATTTATTTGGTTATCAAAATAAATGGCTCCATTCTGGCAGGGAGGAGGGAATGCAGCACTGATGGACAATTTTGCTTTCATTACAGAAGGAGAAAAAGCTATCTCTGCCCATAGGAGTCAATCAGCAGAATGCTTGTTTGCTTAAGGTCTGGGGTCCCTCTCCCACTACTAATGAATAGCATGAGTTGACCCAGGCTTACTAGGGAAGGCTTTTGTGTCTGGAGCCCAGGACTACCAAGGGATAGCTATGTCCACTTTCAAAATCCCAGTCTGATATGCATTTTTATGTTATTCCCATAAAAGAGACTTCATGTAAAATACTGGGTAGAGGGGTGTGTGTGTGTGTGTGTGTGTGTGTATCTGTGTGTGTGTGTTACACATACATGATGGGGGGGAGGCACACAAACACCCACTGAGCTGGAACATCAGAAGATCTGGGTTAGAGGACTGATCTGCTCCGTTGGGCAGTGAGACCTTGGCCAAATCACTCCCCACTTCTAAGTATCAATTACTAACTTCATTTAAATATGGGAACAATACCCTTTGTTCTCTGCATCCTCAGAGATGTTGTGATCAATGTATTTTGTGAGCCCTAACTTTGGAGATTATCATCACCATCACTATTGCATACACATTCATATATACATGTGTATATGTGTATATATATATATATACACATACATATGTACATACACATATGTATATGTATATATACACATGTATATATACATATACATATGTACATACACATACACAGATATATGTGTATGTATATATGTACACACACGTAAGTTGGAGTCTTGGCTCTAACACTTTGAATTGTGTGACTTTCTGGGTCTCAGTTTTTTCTGTCAAATGGGGATAATATCTGCCCTACTTACTTCACAGAATTACAGTGAGAAAAGCCCTCTGAAAACTTTAAAGCATGATAGAAATGGAAGATGTTAATATTATCAAAATATATATACACAGAATTGGACCTAATGGCTTCCAGATTCTTTCCAATTTTATAATTCTGTGATTCAACCAATCAGGAAGCATTGTTGTATTTAGTATCTATTCATCCCCAGGCACTGTGCTGAAGATGCAAGGTCAAAAAGGAAAGAGTGCCTGCCCTTAAGGGGCTTACATTCTATCATGGAAAACAACAGACACACACACACAAGCATTTATATACACTTACAATATATAAATCATAAACTGTTCTCAACAACAACAATATATAAATCATAAATACCTACATGATTCTAAGGACAGAAGATTTTAAACAGGTATACACTTTTCGCTCTGAAAAAATTCAGCATCTGCATTCATTATTTGGGGGGAGGGAGGCAGCTCTGAATTTTATTAGACTCAAGTGGATTTCCCTAATTGTGCTTGGAATGTTCAACACCCCTACACAGTAATAATGGCTCTTTTTTCTAAGCCCCTTACAGTTAATAATAATTTAATAACCCATGTTTACATAGTATGTTAAGCAAGGTCCATGAAGCGATTTTGTCAGAATGATCCTGTGATGAACAAAGGATCCCAGGCCCTTGGGTCCAAAACTGGGAGAAACCTAGCAGACCGGAGACTTGCCTAAGGTCACATAGATAATAAGTGTGAGAGAGAAAGACAGAGAGAGAGAGACAGAGAGACAGAGAGAGAGACAGAGACAGTAAGAGATAGAGAGAGAGAAAGATAGAGACACACAGAGACAGAGACAGAAAGATAGAGAGAGACAGAGGACTCGGGTCTTCTGACTCCAGAATAAGGGCTCTTTTCCCTGTACCCACGGTGACTTCCAGAGAGCTAGGTGGGACAGTGAAGAGAGCGTGCCAGGCCTTCAGGAAGACCTAAATTCAAGTCTAATCTCTTACTAGCTGTGTGACCCTGGGCAAGTCATCTCACCTCTGTCTCAGTTTCCCCAACTGTAAAATGGGGATAAAAACACTTATCTTTCAGGGTTGTAGCGAGGATAAATGAGATAATAATTGCAAATGGCTTGGCACACTGCCTGGCACGTAGTAAGAACTATATAAATGTTAGTTATCATCATCATAATTGTTGTTATTGTTAATAACAACTACCTCCCATAATTATTTTGAAGATCAAATGAGTTAATATTGGTAAAGTGCTTTGCAAATCTTCAAGTGCTATAGAAACACTAGCTATCGGTACAGAAGTCATAGTACAGAAATCACTCATCTAGGCATAGAAGAGGACTGTCACTTGCATGACAAGTAAGTAGCTTATGCCAGGCTTCAAACCCAAGCCTCCTCACTGTAAGGTCACTGCTCTCCCCACTAGACCCAGCTGTTTCTCTCCCTACTGTAAAGTCTTCAGAGTTGGCACCGACTTTGTATGTGAGCAGAGGGCTTTTTTTTTTTCCTGATGCCCTTTGAAATGATTTGGAAAAGCAGCATCATGGGAGAGTCTGAAGCCCCCAACGCTACAGGAGCCACGGGATCTAGAACGCTCACAGAATTAAAGGACAAACCTGCACAGGCACCAACTTGACCAGAGACCCCATATATGCTACAAACCAATTACGAACGACAGAGAGTTTTATTGGTTTTATTGAGTGGAGTAAATCGCAGTTGATGCTGTCCAGATTTTAGCAGGATTTCTAAACAGGATTTCTCTTTGCATTAGTAATGGTAGCTAATTCCTTTAAGCAAAAGTACTCCAATTAAAGTAACCCAGTAAGCTGGTACACTTTTTCCCAGTTTTATCTGCATCTCCTCCTCCTCAGGAAAAAACAAAGCAAAACCCACAACCCGCAAACCATAATTTTATTAGAGGGGCAGATCGTAGATAGCTTAGTCTCCTCTACTTCTGTGAAAAGACTGGATGATAGAGATCACAGAGGGAAAAAAACAGACTTTGCTCAATGAGGCTCTTGACCACGTTCTTGAGGGTTAATACCTTAAACCCACTGCCTTTACTAGATCTACAAATACTTCAAGGGCTTGGAACGTCAGGTGGGGCCTGCCACCATTGACTCTGACTGAGGCTCCTTTCTACCTCAACAGACAATCAGAAGCTACTACAGTCAAAAAAAATGTCACCTCCAAGTGATCTCCACCTTTTTTTGGGCCTATCCTTAGATGAGAGACCATCAGCGGGTTTGAAGCAATGGAATCAGATCCTCTAACGCTGAGGCCGTTAACCTGGATCCAGGAAATGTGGAGAGATCTCAGTGGGAATGTGAACTTGTATGGGGCAAAAAAAATCACACCTCTAGCATTTCTTTCAATTATTTAAAAATATCATTCTAAGATGGGATCCACAGGCTTCATCAGACTGCCGCAAGGGTCCATAGGACAAATAAAGGCTAAGGACCCCCTGTTCTAATGGGCCTGGGTGGGCATCATTTTCCAGTTCAGAATCTGGCGCAGTTCCTGGTACATAGTAGGAACATAACTGATGCTTGATGGAATAATAATTCAATTAAAATATATTAATAACATAAAGATACGATCTGGGACAATCCTACTACAAAAAATTTTGATGAGACAGTTGATGAAACATATTATCGCTCCATTATTAACTGTTACTAACTATGGCTGACAGGGTTATCTTCAGTGATTTGAGAGCCAGTCCTTACAAATCAGAGTTTTGAGTATATATAGGGAGCTACTGAATTCTTTCTTAGTACCTCAGAGAACCTGCAGGGTATTTGACCCTCTCTTTCTGCTCTGGCTCCTGTGGGATGTCTGTTGTTTCAAGTTAACTTTGGTACAATGAGAGATCAAAAGCCAAACTGGCATCAGAGGTTATGAACAAACATATGGGCACCCAGCATGCATACCCACAGACTGATGATGTGAAAAGAAACCAGGTACATGATCAGGATGGGGCAAGGACAATGTTCCCTTGGCATTCCCTGAGGGGAAAGCAAAGACAAAGACAAGGAGACACATTTGGAGCCTGGCATGAGCATGATGGAAGCTGAGATGAGTGATAGACTCCAGTAGTGAAGCAGGCTGTGGCACTCAGAGGTTGATTTATGCCCACCTGTCCCAAAGTAATAACCAGACAATTGCAGTACCTGGGACTCCTCCACTTCTCCATGTCTCTGGTCTTGTGGAAAAGTATCTGGTGCCTTCAGATAACCAAGAAGGCCCAAGGCTAGGCCATTCCAGTAGGGGTTTTCTGCTCTAAAGTCTCAAAGTCAGATATTCAGTACCAGCTTCTCACCCTGAGAATCTCTCCATCCCCATGCGTTTCTTGTCTGGTTTCCTTCAAATTAAGTGTTCAAGGTTTATAGCAAAGCACCAAGGTGCTTCTCTCCGGAGTTTAGATGGGGTATAGCTCTGTGCCATGATAGCCAATCTCCACCATCCATCCCACCCAAATTAGCTCAGATAGCGACATGAAATCAGAATGAAGAGACACGGGTGAAGTCGTAGTGGCAGGAAGCCAGCACTGAGCATGGAAGAATGGAGAAGCACCCAAGAGCATGGAGCCACGTTGGGAACGTGGCAGGCGCGCGAGTGAATGTCTCTTCAGTTCACAGGCAGACATAGAGGACTCACAACACGGACAACACACCAACCCTACCTTCTCCGGCTTCTTTGCCTTTCCTGTCAGGTAACTCTAACCCCGTGCCCCCCGAGGGATACAGGGAGACGTCTGTTGGCACAGGCCAACTGCTGGCCGTGTTCTCCGTCATCTCATACATCTGCCCTTCCAGCGGCTGCAGGTGCCAGTTTAGGCCAAACAGGTGCATGGCTGTGGTGAGCAATGAGAAAAGTCATCTTTTTCTGTGCGAAGGGGAAAGGGAATTTCCAAACCCAAAGGGATTAGGGGGAAGTACAGGAATTAAGGGAAAGCTGAGGCTTCAGAGACTCACGGCCCACTGCTTTAAAACACACCCACTTCAAGAACCAGCCAGGTCTCTCTTTCCACTGGTGCACATCTCAACCCCTCTGTAACTTATGAGAGGTGTTTCAAGAGTTGCTGTGCTTGACAAATCCATCAGCCTGTGGCTAACCTGGGGATGGAGCCTCTCCTAACACAGCTTGCCTGGTTCTCAGATGACAGACGTGCAGGCCTTTGTTTGGCCTGGACTCAAAGATTTTCCATCTTGGAAGCACCCCCCCCCGCCTTTCCAGACTTCTTATATGTTACTCCCCAACATGTACTCTTCGATCCAGAGACACTGGCCTCCTGGTTGTTCCGTGGGCAGGACTCCATCTCTTGGCTCTGGGTCATTCTCCCACGCCTGCAATGCTGTTCCTTCTCATCTCTGCCTACTGGTTTCCTGTACATCACAACTAAAATCCTGTCTTCCACAGAAAGTCTTCTCCAACACCTTTCAATTCTAGCGCTTTTCCTCTGATGATTATTTCCTAATTATCCTGTATATAGCTGGCGTTGTTTGTAGTGGTTAGCTTTTTGTCTCTCTCATCAGATTGTAAGCTCTTTGAGGGAAGGGGGTATCTTTTACCTCTTTTTGTATCTCTGGTGCTTAGCACAATGCCAGAAACAACGAAGGCACTTAATAAATGGTTACTGATTGATTGATGGGAAGGACTAGCCAGGTAAGTGAATCCCAAGGTCAATTCTAAAACACAATGAAGCACCAGAGGAGAATTTCAGAGCTTTCATTAAGGCTACCATTAGAATGCCCACCTAAGCCCTCTATGTCCTCAAATGCAGCCCTTTGACTGAATCCAAACTTCACAGGGAATTTATTCCCTTAATAAAAGGATTTGTTCTGTAAAACTTGGACTGAGTCAAAAGGCCACATGAGGCCTTAAGGCTGCAGATTCCCCACCCCTGGTCTAGCTCCTTGGCTACCTTGCAATCCCATGGCAATATAGTCTAAGATAGTGCGTGTCCCTAGAGGCTCTGGATATTCAGGAGGTCCTCTTGCAAACTAGTTTCTTTAAAGAATAATAATTTTTAAAAAAGGCAAAAGTCTGCTAGAGTTACCAGAATCATGTCTTCTTATAGCTTTGTTTGGTTGCAGACATGTTACAAAGTGTGTCAGTATTTGTGAAGGGGACCATAGCAAAGAGACCTGAGTTTCAATCTCAATTCTAACACCTCCTAGTTGGGTGACCATGGATAAGCCAATGTAACTACTTGTTCAGCTCATCTATAAAACTGGTACAATGGACAAAGCATTGGGCTATTGAATCAGGAAGACCTCAGTTCAAATCCTGCCCTCTGACATTGGCTAGCTGGGTGACACTGGGCGAATCACTTCCCGCTGTCTGCCTCAGTTTCCTGATCTGTAAAGTGGGGATAAGAATAGCACCTCCTTCCCCAGGTTGTTTGTGAGGATCAAATGAAATAATAGGTGTCAAGCACAGTGCCACCTTTACATGCTATACAATCGCTGGCTATTATTATTAAATTGGGGAATAATAATCCCTGAACTAGCTGTCTCAGGTGGGGATGTCAAAGCACTATAGAAATATGAGCTATCATCACTGTTTTGTTATTCTCTCAGGAGGGGACTAGGTGGGCTAGGCAGTTAAGGGTGGAGAGGGCAGAGAAGATAAGCACAGAGCAAAGACCCCATGCATCATCCAGGAGAATTTTAGATTTCCTGCTCATCAGGTCAAGGACCCCTCCCTGGGATACAGGAGAATGGAATGCTGACTGAATTTGCATGTTCCCAGGCCTGAACTCATTGTGGCTCATGCAGCTCACGCAAAGCCACCCGTCACAGGAAGCTTAGTCCAAGAAATAATGTGAGGGCAACTGGAACAAAGCAGAGAGCAGTGCATGGAAAAAGTAAACACATGTCTGGCCAGAGCCAGGGCTGAGGCGAAGAGGACCTGCTTCTGAGACCACAACAAAGGAAAACGCCTGGCTTCACGACATCATTACTACCCCCCAGCCCCATCTTTGCTGATATAAATACTTTATCTTTAGCTCCTTTTAGGATTCCCTAATTCTAGTTCTAGGGTCTGCTGTTCTCCAGCCGGAGAACGCTACCTTCTTCCTAAAGCCCCAACCATCCTGATGGGCGCTCTGTCAAATCCAAATTTCTAAATGAAATTGATGGCTAAAGTCCTATCACTGGGCAAGCACAATGGGAATTGGAAGAGGATAAGCATCTGTTCTGTTATTATATATTCATTATTATATATTTATTCTAAGCCTACTAGGTACCAGGCACTGTGCTAAGCACTTGGATAAATACAAGGTGGGGGAATCAGACTTATTTTAATCAGTTTGAAGGCAGGAATAGGACAAATGGGGAGGCTAAGGAAAGATGGGCCACGGGGAAGCAAGGAGGCAACTACAATTTCAGATGGATATTAGACTCAACAACCAGATATGTCCCCAGAATGGCACAGGATGACTCTGTGGACTTGTCAGCTCTACATCCCTGGAGGTCTTTTTAAAAAAATGTAATATTTTATTTTTCCCAATTACATGTAAAAGCAATTTTAACATTTTTTTCAAATTTTGAGTTTCCAATTCTTTTCCTCCCTCTCCTCTCCCTCCCTCATTATTCCTGGAGGTCTTAAAGCAAAAGCTCAGTGACTGACCATATCTTAGGGAAACTGCAGACAGAATTCAACTGAGGTCTGTTCTAGCTCTGAGTTCTATGATTTTCTGATTCTGCTGATCTTCTAGCCCTACCTACGGCTACCCTGCCACACTCTGACCAAGGTCAAGTCTGCCTGAGCTTTCAGAGAACAGTCAAGTATAACTTTTTCCTGAGAAGAGTTTTCTAAAATGGTGGCCCTCAGTAAATGAAACTACCACGGGCCTCGTAGCGATAATAACAGCAGTCATTTTTATAGTGCTTTAAAGTTTTAAAATTATTCAGCATAAAGTATATCTCACATGAGTTTTACTATCATCCTGTGAAAGAGATACTGGAGATGTTTTTATTCCCATTTTATAGAACAGGAAACTGAGGCCCATGGCCACAAAGTTAATAAGTGTCAGAGGGGGGATGTGAACCTAGGTCTTCTGAAATGTAAGTCCAGCAGTCTACTTACTGCACCACTTAGCTACAAGGCAAGTCATTTCAACTCTCTGGGCTTCTGTTTCCTTAATCTTACGAAACAAGGATAATTATATTTGAACCTACTTATTTCATTTGGACATTGTGAATAAAGTGCTTTGTCAACTATGAGGACCAAATTAGGTAAAATACACAAAATACTTTGTAACCATAAAATGCTAAGTATTACTATTTCTTCTTTCTGATCCAAAGGCTAAAGATATTCACACTTGGGAGAACGCATACCAAATTGATCCATTTTCATTTTTTCAAGTGAGCAAATTACATTGGTGGTAAACTGAAGTTACACTGGTGGTGAAACAGGTATGCTTTTCTATTGGCTTGAGATTGTCTTAACTGAGCATGTAAATAGAGGCAGTAAAGCATAGTTTAAAAAAAGAGCCCAAGTTTTGGACCCTGAAGACCTAGGTTCAAATTCTGACCTTGCTACTTATTGTATAGGGCAAGTCACTTGACCTTTCTGGTTCTCAGTTCCCTTACGTGTAAAATGAGGGAGGTTAGACAAGATGAATGGTAAGGTCTTTTTAGCTTTAAATCTATGACTTTATGATTGGTCTAAATCTTTGCCATTTATCTATAACCTTGGGCAAGTCAGACAATTAATCCCTCTGGGTGCCAGTGATGACCTCAAAAGTCCATTTCAATTCTCAATCTATGATCTATGATCCTATGCCAGATATTTCTAAGGATGAATTAACTCACCTCTCCTTTTACTATCTCACCATTTTGATCTCTACATTGGCAACTCCACAAGTAATTGGACAATTGTCTGGAACTTAGACACCTCAGATGAATATAGCTAAATTATCGTTTTCTTCCCCTTTAGAATCAATTATCTTATCTTACTGTACAAAGAGTATTGTCTTGCTAATAGGTAATTAGAATTAAGTAATCTAAGAGTGTGCACCCTTTAGGAAGAGAAACTCTGCTTACTCTGAAAGTTTTCTCTTATCTAGAAATAAAGGAAGAAAGGAAAGAAGGAAAAAAGATGAAGAAAGGGAAGAAAGAAGAACAAAGATGGCAGAAAGGAAAGAAAAAAGGAACAAGGAAGAAAAGAAGAAAGGTAAGAAAGGAAGGTAGGAAAGAAGGAAAAAAGGAGGGAAGAAAAGTAGGGAGAAAAAGAGAGAAAGAAAGAAACCTTATAAAAACATCCTTACAAGAAATGAGGAACAAAGATATTAAATTAGTTTTGTCACCCAAGAAAGTGTAAAGAGGACTCATGATATGAAATCATATACTCATAGAATGCTAATGCTAGAAAGGAATATAGAATATAGTGTTAGAGCTGAAAAGTGATGTTGTAAATTAGAATATTTTAACATGGACCATGACAGCTGGAACCTTAGAATACAGAATGTTCAAATAAACACAGAATATTAGGGCTGGAAGAGACTTTAGAACAAAATACGTAAGAACACAGACTATATAGAATATTGGAATGAAACTTAGAGACCATCTACTTCAACCTTCTTATTTTACAGAAAAGGAATTTGAGTGTAATTAAGTAAAGAGACTTACAGCCATAGAGTAGTGTTTCCTTCTTTCCTTCCTTTGTTTCTTTCTTTTCTTTCTCTTTCTTTCTTTCTCCCTTCCTCTCTCCATTTTCTTTCCATCCATCCACACATAGATGCATACAAAAAGTGTGTGTTGTTTAAAGCCCTCACCAGCAGTAAGCTCAGTTTGATTAAGTAAATTAACAGTGGAAGATACCCTTCCAAAAATATTTCTTTAGGTG